GAAGCTTCATCAGATTTGTTCCGCGATATAGATTGCACAACATGATTGCCACAATGCAGAAAGAAATATGTGAAAAATACTATGATAAACTTCAGCAGAGACAGCGACCTAGTGTATAAGACCATTGCCAATACAGGTACATCACACTCAACCAACTCAACAATAAAATTGAACCAAATTGGTGCATTTGGTTTGATCTAGCTCATAATTCGGATTTTTTTTTTCAAATTAGTTGGTTTGTTTTTTTTAATTTAAAATATATTAATGTAAACAAATATATAGGCCATATATACATGTCATATTTGTCCAGCATATTTGACAGATAAACATAGTATATAATGAGAAGATTATAATATGTTCAGTTCCATCTATAAATTACCTTAGAAAAATGCACAACCCCAAATCAAGTTTCCATAGGTTTACTCCAACAAAGCAAACAAATTGTTTCAACAATCTGATCTCATCATGTTCAGATCACAATAACCTGATAAACATGTGCATAAGGGGCTTCGACGAATTAGTTTGCAACACTTACATGTCAACTTCATTGAATGTTGTTAATGTTGCAATGAGTTCTGAGAATCCTTCAAACATGTGGTCACCCTTTTATTAAGCCTTGGCATTGGAACCTGCAAGGAAATGAAATTGAATAGGCAGAAGCAGTAGTTGGACAACAATTCAAGAAACTATCCAGTGTCTTAACCAGACATAAATCTGTTATCAAGACCTAAATATGATGAGCAAAACAAAGAGCCTTACTCATCTTTCCCTTTCCTTGGGGAGTTAGTTGAGGTTCTGAAGGTGAGGATTTGGGGAGTACAGCAGAGGATACTTTAAGCACTTGTTTGTCAATCTTCTCTGCTGTAGGACCTGGTCGTGGAGAATCTGCAGGAGGAGATGGTTGTCGAGCATCTTGACCACTTTATCATCTGATGAGACAACATGTGTCGCCAGGGGAAGACTTAGATATCACAGCAACCTTGGTTCCTTGTGTCACAGTATCACCTTCTTTGGCTATAAACTGTAAATGGAAAAGATCACCATATTTGCATCACTTATGAAAACCAAGAATCAACTATATAAGAGAATTTTATTTGAAGCCAAAGTAAGATGAACTCTAACCTTTTGGATAATTCCAGCTTCAGGACTATTTACATCAATGGTCACCAGAAACAAAGATCCAAAGGTGCTGAGAACAGCTCCAAGTGACCTATCACTATAAAATCATGGACTAATACCTTATCGGTCTCGATCTGAGCAATTGGTTCATCAACTTCAACCCTTTCACCGGACTCTGAATGTAAAAAGAAAAGCACATTCCACACATTTGTGAGAAATAGCCCCTAAAAGCTTCAGGTAGGAGCAATCAGATATCACAAAACAAATAAATATGCTTCTTCAACCTAGCTTTTTGAACTTAACAAGTCTCTTCAGTGAATGGTGAGCTTATGACGTTTGTGCATACAGGCATACACCTGCAAAAGCATGCACCGCTATGCTTATATGCATCCAGTGAGAGCAGAGAAATGACATGCTTTTTAAGAAGGTTGCTAAAGTTCAATCGTTGATAGATTCACCCATGAACGGAACGACAGCATCAACCAAGTTGCCTGAAGAGAAAATTTTCAAATAAAAAAGTTCTCACTGCCAAATAAATCACAGCAGCAGATATTTATCTAACCCTTGCAAGATCAGGCAAAGACAAGAATTAACTGCAAATGCATACCATTCTCAGAAGAAAATGACCTACTCCACATTTGATAAGGAGAGGCCCTGGGGAGTAACCTAATAAATTTCCTGCAATTTTCACGCAAATAAGCAATCGAACACAGGATAAGCACTTGAGCTTTCAAGGTTTTCTTATCCATAACAACCACATACAAATTGAAATGACACAATGTGAGATCGATGCGACTGCTTTAACAAAGTGTAATCATGATATATGGAAATCATCTGGAAGCGTATGATGGCTACGGTGGTGGACATGTCCACAGCTTCTTGCAACGAGTAGAGCCTGCAAGGCCGTGCAAACTACCAAATTTAACAGCAATTTTATGATGATTAATCGAAAGGGCATATAATGTACGATAATGATAAAGAAGAACGTCACTCGCAGCCCGAACTCAGAAGCTTTGCATGTATGAGCCCACTGAATCAGGAAAACCCAAAGAGAAGCTTAAACTATATCGTCGTCTCTCGTCCCCACCTATTGTCCTCTCTCCCACTACGGCGGGCACGGATTGAATTAAATTCATTTACATTAAACATTGCAATATAAAAGACAAAAAAGATTTCATCTTTGCGCATGATAAACGTCTAATTGCATCAATCTTTGTCGAAAACCACAAAAATCACATTGCTTGTTTGGAGCAACGAGATAGAAATAGACGGCAAGCAGAGGCAAAATGAGAGATGGAAGAACTCATCGGGTTAGGAGCTTACGGCGGCGGCCAGCGTATCAGAAAGAGACGGAGGATTAGCGAGAATACCACTTCGACGGCTTCCTTCCTTTTTTTCTCTCTCCCTCCCTCGTTCGGCGGGCTTTTGCACGTATTATTCACGTGACATAGTGGATCCACCTCTCTGAGAACTGGACCTTCGCCCAGGTGGGTACTCAGTCTGGTGGCCATTATTGAGGCCGGCATGGTCCCACCGGTGGTCCAGAGTTTGCTAACACGGTTTGTCCAGTAAAATGTCGGGTAAACAATTCGAGTCTTACGGACGAGTATCAAGACTATTCTACAATTTGCCAAGAATCATTTTTGCTTGGCCCACATGATATGGCCAATAAAACGTCGGGTAAGGGCCGGAGTAGCCTAAGATGGATAGCAAAGATTGTTCCCAATTTGCAAAGAATCAGTTGCACTACTGGCCCACAAGGTTCAGCCAGTAAAACGTCGGGTAACAAATTAGAGTAGTGTAGATGGGTAGTATTTTTGCTCGTGCATTAATAATACCTTCTCATTAATAGTTTGTGACATGATCATTTAATTAGACCATTTTTATTGTTTTTTTCTTTAACTTAGTTATTTTGTATATATTTTTTTTGTACATTGTGGACATTATCAACACTAACAAGTTTATACTGCATTTCAAATAGCTGATAAGTATTTCTTTTTGGCATATTATAGAACCCTGATATGATATTTTGAATAATTACAAAATTATATTTGGCTGTAGTAAAAAAAGAAGTTCTAAATGCATCCATGTTAGATTTAGATGTTGAATTAGATTTAGATGTGGTTTGCTTTATTTTTAATATCCATGATATTTTTGATAAAATATTTATCTAATACTTAAGTTAATTTAGGGTTCATAACCATTGATAGTTACGAAAAATATTTACATGTTGCATTCAAGTTTAATTACCATCACAATATTATGACATACCGAATTGAGATATAATAACTGTATACTCGACTTAGTCATAATGTCGAAGTATCAATCAATCAAGGTATCGATCATATGTCATCTATGTGGTGATATCGGACTATCGATCAAATGTCATTCATATGACACATATATGATGATCAAATGTTATATCATCATTTTTCATATCGCAAACCAAATCAAAGTTCAACTTATCATAGTAACAACTACAATTTTTTTGTTCTCTTTAAATTATTCCCGTGTTGTTTATAATGTCTTTCTTACCTTTGTTTCTTTCTTCAGCTGGCGAAGAAGGTAAGGAAAAGAAATCGCATACTTGGTCATGAACAGACTAGCACCAATCTCTGTGTCTTATTTCTTGGATTACATGGGAGGAGGAGCACATCTTTCACAATTGCTTGTACGCATGCTGGGTGACCACACCATTAGCTCTTCCTTGGTCAAACCACCGTGCCTTCCACCCTCAACCTGAGGATGAACACATGCAGCGTGATGATGTCTGCGTTCCTTGTTCAGCTCAAATTCCCTCCCCCCCAACCCATCAGGTGGTGGCTGGTCAAAGAATCTGGAAGCTCAAACAAAGAAGACAGCAATCCCACGCCGCACTCCTGTCTGATGTTCTAATGGGTTGACTTCCGGCAGGATCCGACCCGTTAATGCCCATCATAGTGCATTCTGAATCGGGTTGTTGCCTTACCGGATCACCCAGGGCTAATAATTAATACAGGAAAGGAAAGGGACAGAGAGGATGAGAGGGGGACAAGAGAGCTTTCGTTGAATTGGGGGACGGCAAAAAGAAACACATGCTGTGTCGTGAACGACCGAACTCCCAAAGGTTTAGTTGGATGTTGATCCCAAAGCCACACTCACAAGAAACCCCGGCCGGCTGGCTTCGTGGCAATCACGTAAGCCATTATTTATGCACCTTACGGTAGTTTTTAGATCCCTCCGTGTTCTTATTTAGCTCACCTTTCTTGTTTCTTTTATGTTGTTGGCTGCCTCCCTGTTCTTATCTGCTATCCTCCCACCATGTGAGCTTGACATACTGATATGAGCCTTAAAAAAAGGGTGATATAAGCTTGTAAGTCATCTATATATTTAGATATGCCATGCCTGCTGTAATCGTGGTTAGGGTATCATGTCAGTGTGGTTGCAGATCAGCTTTCATCATGTTCTAACACATTATTAAGCTCATCATCTCTCCTGTGTCCTTGGTAACAATTTTAGAGTGCAGCAGCAGTTTCTAGTCTACACCTGCAAACTTGGAATTCAGATCGATCATGGGTCTCATTCTGATGTGATCTCCACTTCAAAGCAAACCCCTGAGCTAATATTATTGGCCAAGGAGGGGGGACCCCCATGCCTTTGACTGGCCTCTTAGCTCAGACCCTCTTTTCTCAGGAGCATCTCATCTCTTCGGCACACCAAATGCATTCATGCCCTCCTCTTTAAGAATTGCTCAGCTTTTGTTCCTGTCTTTTGGCAGCATTGGATCCTCTTTTGTGCATGTAAAAGCATGGGTCTCTCGATGGCACAAGCCACCCGGGCTCAAAAGCAAGATGCAACCTGTCTCTTCATTGTTCTAGCAAAGAGGACAGACACATTGGGACTAGCCGAAGCATGTGATTTCATTAAGATCGAACATTCGTTGCACATTAACTACTGGTTCAGCTGCTCCATGAAGCTCTCTCGCGTCTAAGTTGTTGAAGATGAACGCTTACAAGAGATGAAGAAGAAGAGTAGTAGAATTCCCAGAGTTCAGCTCAAAGGTTATTTGGACTTTGGCTTCCGAGAGAGGAAAAAAGGAGGCGGCTCTAAGTTTTGATACACTGATACAGAGGGTTTCTAGGCAGGCCTGTTCACTACGGAAGTGATGTGCCGGAACTGGTTTCCTCTCCACTGCTGCTTCCGTAGGAGAGCTCGGTGACGCAGCTCGTCTCAGATATGGAGGATGCAGAATGGCTCCGATCTCTATCTCGCTGCCCCATGAAGTCGATGAAACCAACTCCATGATTCGTGCCTCCGTCGTCGGTCTCCGCCTCCATCTTGGTAGCTCGTTTCTTCTTAAAGATGCGACAGAGCACCCAGTCTCCGCTTGGGACGGCCACACAACTCTGCATGATCACAAGCATTATGGAGTTCAGCAAAGATTCCACACTGATGAAGCCAATTTGCGAAAGAGGCTTGTGATTACATTCTCTGTAACTCACAGTGAAGTGATCTCAAAGCAGAGCAAAATCAACAACAGTTTGGAGCTTACTTGAGATGAGTTCTTTCTCTGGGGGAAGATGCAGGCTGTGGTGTCAGGGCCGGTGAGGCGGTACTCATGCATGATCCAATCCGTCTTGGTACCGGTTGGGGGCTTCCCCTGATAGAACACCAAAACCTTCTTCATCCCGACCACCTGGCTGCACCGAGACGACGTGATCTGCTTGTCCTTCCCCGTGGCCTTCCAGTACCCGGATCTCGCCGCCCGGTTCGATCGGCTCCCCTTCGTGTACTTTGCCTCCCGTAGATTGAAGAAGTATCTCTCCTCTTCGCACCCACCTGAGCATTGCCATCATCACTAGTGTCACTTCATCGGCACTCCAAAGCATGATATGGTTGGGGTTTTCGGAAGTTACACAGGGGAAGTAGTAGTAGTAGCAGTAGTAGTAGTAGTAGTAGCAGCAGTAACCTGGCAAATCCCATGGATCGAAGTTTGAGAGATTGATGTCAGGGATGATGGAGGCAGGCAATGGGCATGAGAAGACCTTCGTCCTGAGGTACTGCACCACCAGCTCCTCATCAGTGGGGTGGAACCTGAACCCAGGGGGGAGCCTCAGCACTCCATGCCTGGCGACAACACTCGGCTTCGTATCCATATGAAACACGGACCAGGAAGCAGAGGAAAACAGCAACGACGACGACGACAACAAGGAGGCCTCTAATTTCTCGAGCTAGAGACTACAGCCGCGGGTCCAAAACGGGTGGAATCAAAAGGAGCTAACGATCCATGGTTTTCTGCTTCTGTAGCGAGAAAGAGAGAGGAAAGAGGAGGGGGGAAAGAGAAGGGCGGGGAGGGGCCAAGGAACCGGGGCGGGGAGGGGAAGGGGCGTGGGTCGAAGGTGAGGGAGGAAGCTGGGGCGGTGGCGGGTCTTTTATAGCAAAGGTTGCGGCCACAACGCGACGACTTGTGTAGCGTGAACCGGACTCAAACCTTTGACGCATTTTATACCCATATACACACGTCTGGTGACGGCGATTCACACATCTGAGAATTTACCAGCACACATCGATGCATGAATTTTATAATGCTCTGATGATGATGTCCAGATTTTTATGTTTAGAATATTACTACGTTGATGATCGAATCCACTTATTGGACATTCAAATTTGGATTTCTTATCCTATAATATAAATTTATTTATCGATACGTATTCAAATAAAAAAGTCCTTTTTGTGCTGGGATTTTTCTTTTTTTCTTTTTAGAATTATCCGATTTAAAAGAAAAAATAATAATTCTGTACAGCAAATTTGGATCAGTGGTTGCATCGATTATATCTTGTCGAGAGGAGACACCGATGTCCGGCCTCACTCGTCGAATGACGTGATTGATCGTGAGAGAGCCGTGCGAGATATGGAACCTGAGAAAGTTGTATTGAAACTTATCTATCTATGTATTTATTATATATTCCAGAAGGTCGACTTTTCTTACAAATAAATATTCTTTGGGTATTTTAGGTGACTCTTATTTTTTGTTTTCAAATAATATATCTAATTTGAAAAATATTTGAACTGTTCCTCAATTTTTTTTTTTTTTACATATTGCAGTGTTTTGATCCAAAAACAAAAAAAATATACTTAAAAGCAAATAAATTTTCAAATTATTTTGAAAAAATAAGAGTTTGCTATAGTGTTTAATATGTATTATAATATACTAGAAATAATTTTGATATATTATAATATTATTTAATATGCAACATCACTCGAATAAAAATAAAAAGTTAATTTGCTATAGTGTTTTGGCTATCATAATAAAAAATTACTATAAATAATCTAAATAGACTCTTAACATTAACAAATCTAAATCTAAAAATATGGTATCCGGGTACATATACTTTCGAAACATCATTACCTAAGGATTGGAAGTACGTAGATACTCATCCTAAGGAGCTACTTTTAGGAGACATATCTAAGAGGGTTCATACACTTTCTTCTCTTAAAAATATTTGTGTCAACGCCGCTTTTCTCTCCCAAATTGAACTTAAATATATTGAAGACATGTATTATCGCAATACAAGATGAGTTAAATTAATTTGAGAGAAATGAGGTGTGAAAGCTTGTTCCTATATCAAATGACCATTTAGTTATTCGTATTAAATGGGTCTTTAGAAACAAGCAAGATGAATATGGTATCGTGGTTAGAAACAAGGCTATATTAGTAGCCAAATATTTGAACCAAGAAGAAGGTATCGATTACAAAGAAATATTAACTCCTGTAGCTATATTAGAAACCATAAGGATGCTCTTTGTGTATGTTATGCTAGTAATAATAATTTTAAGTTGTTTCAAATGGATATTAAAAATACTTTTCTTAACTATAAATATTTTCTAAAAAAATCACCTGTTTTGTTTTATGATTTGTTACAATGGTAAAGTCCGACATGTAATTTATTTATGGAAAAAGAAAAATGGAGGGTAAACGGTGACTCAAATTGCAATTGATGAGAGCCTTCTGATCAATTAATACATGATCGATGCCTTCTGATCATTTATCACCATCGATTAATCGATTAATTATTACGAATTTAAACATATTTAGGCTAAATTAAGAATAAAGGGGAAGGGAATAAATAATGCAGTTCTCCTCCTTTTTGGTGGGTCCCATTCCGCTAATCGATCTAACGGACATCTGTCAATAAACCTTACGATCTGCGAGTCAAAGTCGTCTCGTGCTTGCGTCACGCTTACGATCTAAGGGGGTGAATAAACCATTGGGATGACCTGTTATCACGGAACTACCCTCAGGTCCGGAGCGCCAATCATTCCCGTCCATCGTCGGAGATCAGACGTGATTTCGAATCACGAAACAAAATTAGTTGGGAAAGAGGGCCTACTTGCGTCCAAAACCACCGACAAAAAAAGGAGCAAAATGACAAATTTGCCACCTAACGTGAAAGGATGCTTTCCATTTATTCTGATCGACCAATCGACGGGCTTAGTAGGATTCTTTAGCGAAAAGAAGAAGTAATTGCCTTCAAAGATCAACAATTCTGTGAAGCCAATTAATTCCAAGCAAAAAGCTGTGGCAATGCAATGCCGCAGCGCATGCGTGTATGGAGGAAACTACGGCATTGACATTGCATGGCTTTGGCTGCTGCCGTAGGGCGAAGGCAAACCTTTTCATTTGCCCCGAGAGAGAGAGAGAGAGAGAGAGAGAGAGGAGAGCGAGGGAGGATGAAAAGGAGGCAGAGGAAACATGTAATGTCCCACTTGCGATGTGGAAACATGGAAGAAAAAGTGCTGCTGGAGATGTGCTCCCCTCAGCCAAAATGCGGCTGGTTTTTCCTTTTCCTTTGCCAATGATACGGTACCATCTACTTCCCCGGTCTTTTTCTCTCTTTCACATCTCCTTTTTCTGGTGTTGTTTTCTTCTCATCAGATGGTATCCGATTTATCATCATGATCTGTTTCTGGTCAAGGGCGTTTGCGTGCGGGGATCGAAGAGGGCTCGAGGGAGGGAGCGAAAGAGAGGGCGTCAAAAAGGTAATACTTTTGTGGTTTGGAATATGCCGTCCTTTTCTGTGTCATGTTTCTTCTTCTGCTTGGCCCTGGCCTTGCTTTGTGTGTTTCCTATGCCACTCATCGGTTGGAATTGAAGCGAGGGAGAGAAGGTAGCCATGTGTGGTGGAATGTCCGTTAGCTACCCCAAGCTCATCTATTGAGGGTGGTATCGGGTGGTGGTGGGTTGAACATGGTGGGACAAAGGACCACAAGGTCTTTACAAGGTAAAATAGGGTTCGCACAACTCCATGGGTGATGAGCATTCGTGGTTCAGAAACCCTCCTTGTTCTTGTTACTTGTACTTCACAAAGAAACCAGTACCTAATGCTTCCTTTTTCTCAAATTGAAGCAATCAAGTAAAATTAGCTCTTGTGGGCATTTCTTGGGTTCCAAGGAGTCAAATCTGGGCTTCCCTACATATATGAACTTAGGATTAGGTTAGGGAAACTAAACCTGAGGTGGTGCATAAATTGCATGGATTACTAGTGTTTACTGAGAAGAACAAGCTATTTAAAGATCACTAGAGACCATGAATTGTTTACAGGTGCAACATATTTACTGATGGCTTCTTGCTTTATAATCCTAAATAGTATCAGAGTCTCCGATTTCTCCCAAAACAGGGTGAACAAAATAAATAAATCTTTTTTTTTCATTACATGCTTCCATCTTGATTAAATCTTAAAATGGAAAATGGAGGAACTTAAACTACTGGATTCCAAAAGCATGCTAATTTCATAGATATGTGGTTTACGTATGCCAATAAGTTAAGGTATCATGGACATCATCTGTCATCAAGCATGTAGTTGAATCAATTAGAATGATGTGGGCATTTGTTGTATCAGCCAAGCAATCTAAAATAAATCTTTTTTTTTCATTACATGCTTCCATCTTGATTAAATCTTAAAATGGAATATGGAGGAACTTAAACTACTGGATTCCAAAAGCATATGCTAATTTCATAGATATGTGGTTTACGTATGCTAATAAGTTAAGGTATCATGGACATCATCTGTCAGCAAGCATGTAGTTGAATCAATTAGAATGATGTGGGCATTTGTTGTATCAGCCAAGCAATCTGAGATAGCAGATCTTCCATTGTCGGAAGAGGTTGATACTCCCTGTATCAACTAGAGACTGTCTGCTACCTTAAGTCTTTATCGTTTCATGGTTCTGAGTCTCAACTTTAATGGCTTTCACTTTCTTGATTACTCCTTTGGGGAGGCATCCAAGATGACTTGTGGTTATCGGATTGGGATTCTGATTTCTATGGAAATGTGACGTTGGATGTCGGGGTTATCCTTTAGTTAGGAACATAAGTTGAATCCTTCTCTTCCACGATATAAGACAGAAATAAAATTGGGAATAGTGAGGGAAGATAGAAAGAATTTATGATGCTGATTGGTGTTGCAAGTTACAGGACATGTCTCTCGTGTCTGCTCTCCTCCAAAGGTTGACGAATTTCATCCACAAATCACATCATGTCCCTATATTCTGCTGATAATATTTCTGAATTGCATGACGCTTTTAAGGATAAGTTTCATCGAACAAGATAGGCAATCATTTTAAGCAGGCAAGCATCTACGGAATAACTTAAAACTTGATTTATATTTGATGTTGTGCTTCTAGTTTTCTTCAGTGTTTCATGTTAAACAACACCAGTGTTAGGCCCTTGTGTCTTGACTCATGAAGGAAAGGTACACTCAGAGAATCACAAAAGCGGTCCTAAAAACACTGAGATGACTTCAACTGGAATCAAGGTGGATGGACACGAAAGAGCTACTTAAAGATTGTGGATAAGCATATAGGATCATTCTGGAAAGCTAGTAGTATTCTCAGGCCAATCATAGCATACATTTTTTTCTCTTATTAATCAAAGGGTATCAAAATATGTTCTCTTTTTCTCCAACTTTGGTCGCTTCCTGCAACAAGTATTATGCATCGGTGGTGCCACCAATCCGAGTGACAAGTAACAGTAACATTCTTCCTGCAACAAATATTAACAAGACTTTGATCGCTTCCTGCGACAAATATCATGAATCGGTGGTGCCACCGATCCGAGTTTTGTTGACTAAATTGTCAACATATTGACAGCAGCCTCATACAGGAAAAGAATTCGGAAAAACATCCTTTATGGGTGAAACAACAGCTGAATATTTGAACTGCTTTCTCATCCAGGCTAGATATTGGGACAATTCGTTATAATACAGTTAGCACAATCGATTTTCATTATGGCTATTTTTTCCATTTATAGTTCCATGTTAACATTTAATGAACTTCTATTTATACTTCTCAGCTAATTTATTTGCTACTCTGCTTTAATTATGCTTCCTGTCACAAAATGAGGAAAAGGATTACTTGTGACTGAAAACATGATCAGCAATCTAGGTTATCAATTATCATGATGTTCATTCTACAGTCTCTGCAGGCAATCTTAATTCATTTCTAAAGTTTACTACTATATATTATATGGCCACTTGAGCAATTTTTCTTTCGCCCAAGCTTGCAAATAATTTCTTTTTATAATCATATGGTATCAACATCCTCATTTTTTTCCTTCTCATGGTTAAAAGGTTGACAAACAAATGGTGGATCCAACCATGGAACCTTTCAAAAGGCACAAGACAGAGAAGTAAAGCAGATATCTCAAGTCTTCCTACCAAGACCTTGGTGTTCAAAAGCTGCAAGTGCTTGCTTGTTTGACAAAACAAAACGGCTATGTTAATGGATTTGCCGGTGCTCCTGGATCTATTACCACCGTTCCCCATGATCTAAGCAGCACATGGATACAAGTTTAATTAATATGCATATATCTCTCTCTCTCATGTGAGGCCATAAAAAAACATTAAGGTTGCTTGCTCAGGAGGATCAGCAGCATCAGTGATCCATCTGTGTTGATGGATCTCATCATTCAATCCACATCTGTGTTGATAGATGAAGAGTCGATGATATGAAAACAAGCTGCTTTAAACTGTCAATCCATGCCAAGCAATACTTATTTGGACACGAATGGTTTGAACCGGCCATTTTGGCAGGTGAAGTGTCTGACCTCTGCTTGAGTCTTCTAAGCCAATCCAAGAATGAATGTACATGGATTTTATACACTTAAATCAAAGCTAAATACTATTAGATCCTCCATCCGAACCCATATACATATACCAAAATTGTTTCTCGGGAAGAGGCAAAACACTTACTGCTATATTTCATGTTTTGGAACACTTATGCAATCCTATTCTGAGTTTTAGCTTTGCCTTTGGTATTTTCACTAAATGAACGTTCAACCACTGATGATAAGGAAAATAAAAACATTTGATTGTTATTCCAATAATCGATGGTGAATGTTGTTTGGGATATATACGTACAACCTTGTGGGATATATATGTATATATATATACTAACGAAAAGGAAGATTGTTTGATTGATGAACACTCTCATCCCAAGGAAATCGAAGAAAGAGCGAGAGCCCATATCAAATTAGTGTACAGCGATTACCCCTGAAGGGGAACATCGAAAAAAATCCTACATAATCTCGTACACGAAGACGACAGTAAGTGTCATTGTTGTACCAGTTGAGGTATGAGCCTCAACAGAAACGAAAGCTCATGCTGGGAAAACTTGGGCCTCGAAGCCTCCTTCACCTTTGCCTCGACTGCATCTTCTGCGTCCGGGCTGATGAACTCCGAAACAGCCTCAGTGATCTCTTGGACCAAGTCCACGATCACGCCGTTGATCCCCATGAGGTGCTGCATGTAGACTGCCTCGGGAACGTTGCTGCAAACGCAGAGAAAATGTCATCGATCAACACCAACAAAGCAGAACAACAGTGTATACTGTAGCTACAGGAACTGAGTGCAGGTAATGGCGTACTTCAGTTGTCCGTATGTTAGGAGGGCAAGTTTGGAATCTTTGATTCTGGCTATAGCTGTTGGATTGCTAAAGATGGCTTTGACTTCGGACACCAATCCCTGCAAGCCGTATGCCAAGCAGAGCTTGATTCCCTCATCCAAGGAGTTTCTCCTTGCATCCCCGTAGATCTGCGTTCCTCCATTGGTGAGGAAGAACACCTGCGCCAACGACAGCCAAGAAATCAGATTGGAGTCCGTATGCCTTACACTCTCTTCTTCGTTAGCTGAGATCAAAGCCGCTTACAGGGTAGTCATTTTGGAGTTTGCGAATTAGTCGTGCGGCGTCGGGCTGGAAGGACGAGAAGATGATTGACCTCTCGTTGGCGAACTCGTAGACAACCTGCAGAACGAAGGAAAGAGGAATTAGTAACACCGATCACGAAATGCAACAGGGACGTGTAACCCTTGGAAGATGAGGTGGTGGTGCATCGTACTCGCAAGGTCGCTCGAAGCGATCGAGTGAGCTCTTCTTCTTCGTAGACGACATCGTCGACGAACTTTAGCTCGATGTTGAAGCCGACACGGGGATCGACACCTTGGAATGCTTCTTGCAGCGTGCAAAACGAGTCATCTGCTTTGACGGCCCAGTTCAGGATTCGCCCGTCTTTTGCCTTCCTCAGCAATGGTTTCCCCACCTGTAATCCAGTCAACAGCAAAAAATAATGAGCATTGATTCTAACTATCGCCTGAATGAAAAGACGCAGCCTTGATAGTGATTACCTTTGTATGATGATCTCTTTGGGGGCCGTAGGAACGGAACTCCTCCAAGGAAATATGGGTGACAAGCTTCTCGGAAATCTTTCCCTGTGATAAAGAAACAATGAGAGATGAACATTACATTGAGCAATTTGATTGCCACCGTAGAGAGTACGTACAAATGGAGATGTCAGAGACTTACATCTTCGTCTTCGGTGAGTATGAGATCGTCATGGAAGATGATGGGGCAGTCATCTTTGGTGACCTACAAGAATTGATTTCATCGAGGGTAAACTCTTGTGAGAATTCTTGCTCAAACATTCATAAAGGAAAAGTCATCATCATCCTAGCCCAAGAGTAAGATGCAAGAACCAGTCGGTGGGGTCAATCATCAAGGGGGTCGAGGATGATGTTGACTTCAGCGGCTAAATTTTGGTTCTCATCGGAGGATGTAAAAAGAAAAATAATAAAATAAAATAAAAAGACAATCCATCTACACCAAAACACGAAACAAGGGGGAATCAAACGGCTCGTAGGATGCCACGACACACGAAAAAGAAAACGATTCTTTTCCGTCACCGCCTCCGGTTTCGACGCCAAAATCACGTGAAAACCATCCGCCCAAAACCGCGGCACCTAATCGGGCAAGGAAACAAACGCGGCGTTCTCGGACGCCGCGTCCTCCCCCCGCCACTCCGACGCGGATCGCCGCGGACGGAGACTGTGGACAGCCAGAAACCCAATGGTTGCTGTTTTCTTGAGTAACGACCGAAAAGAGAGCCGTGAAGTGGCCGGAAAAGGTAACATTAACGGCATTAGCGTCGGTGTAAGAATTGAATATACCTGGACGTCGAACTCAACGAAGTCGATGGGGAAGCGTGCGGCCTCGTTGAAGGAGCGGAGCGAGTTCTCCTTAACCTCCCTCAGCCGCGGGTCCGGCGACGCCAGCGCGTTCATCCCCTTCCCTCGGTGCCCGATCACCACCAGCCTCTCCGCCTTGTTCTCCCATCCCGCCCCTGCTCCGGTAGATCACCGATCAACATTCAAGCTTCCACTTAAAAAATAGAGGTAGGGATGGAGCGAGAAGGAAGGGATATCCAATACCTTTGTGGAGACGGGAGGAGATGGAGAGGGCGACGACGGGGGCCTCCGGCAGCTGGTCGAGCGAGGGGACGTCAGAGACGTGCACGGCCTTGAGCGCCATGGAGATCCGATGGGACTAGGAGCGATTCGGAATTGAGGGCTTTGGGAGCGGAGATCGAGTCGAGTCGAGTCGAGACGAGGGGCGGAGGCGGAACGGGGATGGGATTTAAAGCACGACGGGGGAGTTCGAGTTGGGGTGGGAATATTCGCGGAATTCCGTATTCACAGGATAATGCCTTGGGATATCCCACGACGGAATCTTTTGCTCAATTTTTATATGATTAATATTATTTCTTTAAGTGGGAGAGCATATACCGTCGCTTATGCCGTCACGGACGAAACGGAGAACGCGTGCGGACCGTTCGGGGGAGGCTTCGGAATATGCCGGGGAGATATTCCCATCGCGTTCTGACGCGTAACTCTCGTGTCTTCCTCCGAATCCTAATCCATCCGCCTTATTTAGCGATAAAGACGAAACATAGCAGAGAAATCGTCAGCCGACACGTCAAACCAACAAAAGGAAAAGCTAATGTTCTAAATAAAAGAGACCAAATCATCCGACCCGCTATCCCACCCTATTCACGATTGGAGAGTCAAAGGGATCACTCACCATATTACACGCCCCAATTGTCAGGTAAGACATCTTATTCGGTAGATCGCCTAAAGTGCGTCGGGTTCCAATAATTAAACTTGGATTACTGATGCGATTAAGCAATTATTAGTTTAATTTCCTCAACAGTTGAGTGGATCCAGCTGCACTTAATTAAGTATAGCGATAAGCATGACACCTCAACAATTAGTGTCCCATTTGAAAGCCCACAGACGCGGACGAGGGGATCGACCTTTCTCTCCTTTTCCTTATTCCATAAGGTGGTGGAGAAGCCTCGAGACGAGGCGACACGAGACTACACAATCGACAGATCGCAGCACGTCAGAATGACGCGGACCAACTTGTAGAAAGACGCAAAGACGTTGGGCTTCGACGGTGACGGAATACGCTCGTAATTGTGATCCGAATTGACCCGGTCGGCGTCAGCTGTTCCTATATCAGGATCTCCCCGGTCAAATTAATCCGCCGTATTAGGGTCCATTCCGGTCGATCAGGGTCAACTTAGGTTGGCGAGACCAAGTTAGCTAAACTGTTAGACACGCAGCATATGCCGAGGAAGAAAAGGAGAAGGTTGAAGATGAAGGGAATCCAGTGAAGCTCCGTCTTCGGCTGGCATGGTAAAACTCTGACAAAGAAAGCATCGGGTTCGCTGAGCACCATTGAAGGACAAAGCAAAAGTTTGCTTGACGCAGATTACGTGAATCGAATGTAAGAGGATCCCTCAAACGAATATGAAAAGAAGCTACACTTAGCACTTGGTTTCTGCAGGAAGAAGAACCTGCTTAGTAGCTTCTCTCATCCGCTGGCTGGTGAGACAGTGCAGCTGATGATTCGTTAAGGTATTAACTTCATTCAATCAAAACTTGGCATCCAAGTAACTGAGTAGGTGTCGGTCATCATCCAAGAAAGCACCAGGTAGGAGATTTTAGTTCATTGCATGAACACTTGTAGTTTCCTGTTTGGAAGAAAGGGAAAGGTCACTTGTATGGTCCTTCAAAACCTATTCTTGAGGAACTCTACCATATCTTTTCTTTTTTGGTTGGGTCACAAGTTGTAGAGGAGGAGGAGGTGGTGAGACATCCACCACAGTTTCTCTTGTATTGTCCTGACTACTGGAGAGAAAGGAAGTGACGCATCTGATCTTTATGTATTAATCCCTAAAATACTTGTAACCATGTTAAAGCTAATAATACTACACTCATTAAATCCTCACAATCCAACATAAGTTTTCAGAACTTAATTGTATTACGTGTGTGATGCACAAAGAAACCAATTATTGTTGCTCGTCAACTAATAGATCTTAAATAGGACCTAATATTGTGCAGTCAGTATTCGATTGTAGTATTGTGATTAGCATTAATCATACATGTCATCGGAAAACACAGATCAGAACACATGCAAGAAGCTCAAATGTTCACTGAATATGCTATGCTTTCATGCATACCACAAGAAGACATTTCATGGTTAGGAAAGATTGCAAAGCTCCAAATTCTCAACAATCTGTGACAACAAACATTGGCCAAGGTGTAAACAAAGATGTAAGCCTTGCACGAGACCAGTGTCATGATATTGAATGTTACATTCATCTTGTCCAATATATTAATGCATATTTCAGCTTATAGCAAGTTGATATTCTTGTAGGAATGAGTGTCTTGCTTGTATGAGAAATTGTGTGGCAAAAACAGATCATTCTGGACAATAACATGGGGTGCAGCAAGGATTGTGAGGGGCCTGTGACCCAAATCAAGATGGTCTTAACTCATTCAGAATGGTCTCTTTAAGATCCATGTTTCCGGCTAGCTTTCAGATTCAACAAACTAAAGCATCAGAAGTAATGAAGCTGAGAGAGAGAGAGAGAAGAGAACAAAAAGGAACAAGTCTGTGTTCTTGTCTCCTTCTTACCCTTTTGTAACGGCACAGTGCAACACTTGGAAAGCATGAAAGCCGTCCGCCTATGTGTGCTAACGCCATAAGCAAGCTATTGGTCACCAATGAACTCCCCCTGAAGCAAGAGAACAAAAGCAAAAAGGAGAAAGACCAAAAAACAGAGTCTAAAAAAAATATATTAATCTTGAATATATGTGCAATTCTTACGATAATACATTTGGAGATAGATAGGCTTTCAGGTGTATCCAGTGGAGTTTTACATGGTGTATACGACAGAAAAATTAGAGCTGGTTAACTGAAAAGGAAATCAACATTATTCGATTCAAAAGAGAGGAAAACTGGAGGAAGAAAAGGTGGTGGAAGTCGGAAGTCATGGAGGAGGAAAGTAGGGTTTTGTGGAGTGTGCACACGAAGCAAATGAAGGCACCACCCGAATCATGGCTTTTGCCCATTCGTTGTAACGTAAATAGAAGCTTCAGCATGCCAACATGAAGCCCATCTGAGTTCATATCTATGCATCTTTCATGATTCAGAGCACCATACAACAATTATTTACATGTTTCATGTAGAATAAGCTAATCAAGCCTCCCTACTCCCCCTTTAAAATGGGACCTTCCTCACTCCTCAGAGCCCCAAGCATCCAACCTCACACCTAATTCAGCCATCACCACTCTCGCATGACCTCGGAGGTCGGCGAGCCCCCTCGTGACCCTCGCTGAGCACTTGGAGGAGGAAGAGTCTACATCCTTTAAGTGCTCGACGCAAACTGTTCTCTGAGGAGGTGGGAGAGATGGCCGGGCTATCCTTGGACCACCCTTGGGCATTCACCATTGGCATCCTTGGTACATCAACACTGAAACCTCTCTTTCTCCTCTTGCATGAGTCTGCAATGAACTTCAAGGCTCACCACCTGCACTGAGGTGGAGGACTTTTGAGGTCCAAGGAAGATGGTGCACTTTGTTGTCACTATCAAATCCTTTCTGAAACATCATTGTCCATGCATGATATTACACTGCTCGAGTCTTGGAAATCAATGTCTCTAATTCTTCATTCTCTCCGATGAGATTTCTAACGCAGCTTCTCATCCTGATCCTGTCCCAACAGGTAACATCATCTCACTCATGGTGTTTCTTGCGCCACTGTAAGCTCTCTCTCATTAATTTTTCTTTCCTTCACAACTTCTTTGATCGTTCAAGCTTTCCAGTGACTGTGCTACTCTACAATCTGATGAACTCAAAACGGCAGGCCAACATTCTACAGAGTGTACACAAGGAAATCCACTGAAGGGTTCCAATCGGTGCCATATGTCGTTGCTCTGTTCAGCTGCATGTTATGGTTCTGCTACGCATTCCTCAAGACCGACGCATATCTTTTGATCACCATCAACTCGATCGGGTGCGCTATCGAGACAGTATACATAGTCATATACTTGACGTATGCACCGAAGGTGGCAAAGGTGCACAAAATGTAGCTCACGTCCAAGTTTTCTTGACCATTGCTTGCAAGAGTATATATTATACGTCTATAGTTTATCTCTCGATATGTTTGCTTTCGGATTGCAGATATTTACCGCAAAACTGGTTCTGGTTGTGAACGTGGGGATGTTTGGGTTGATTCTTCTTCTCACGCTGCTGCTAGCAGAGGGCTCCAAAAGAGTTGGGGCATTTGGATGGATCTGCGTGAGCTTCTCCGTGAGCGTCTTTGTGGCTCCCCTGAGTGTCATTGTGAGCACATAATCTCGATAAAAAGTATCACGGTGAATACATCTTGTAGACTCTATACATGATTTGATTCGTGCAGAGGCTTGTGATGCGAACAAAGAGCGTCGAGTTCATGCCCGTCTCGCTGTCTTTCTTCCTCACGTTGAGCGCCATCGTCTGGTTCGCGTACGGTTTACTGACCAAAGACATTTACGTTGGGGTAATCACTTAAACACTCACTTGTATGTATTTGCTTTGTCATCTCAGTCTTTCTGCACAACGAAGTCACTCTGATGTCCTTTTTCCTATCTCGTTGTGGGATTCATCAGCTGCCGAATGTCGTGGGATTCATCTTTGGGATCCTTCAAATGGTGCTCTACGTAGCTTACAGGGACAAGAACAGGGTCGCCATCGAGCACAAGCTGCCCGAGCACATCATATCGATCGCGAAGCTTAGTGCTGAGAAGGCCTCCGAGATCTATCCCATCGACTCTGCCACACCGGTAGTCCATGATCAAGACACAGTGCAAGAACAGGGCGGCGGTGCAGAAGAGGCCAAGGGAGGCATGGCAGCTCCTCAAAGGGAGAATGAGACGAACAGTGTTGAGGTCTGACTGCCCATTAATTGTCGGATGGATGGATGGAAGGGAATGAATGGAGCTAGCTACGTTTGAAGAAGAGCCACACAAATGTTCGCTTGTTCTCTCTGTCATCTCTTTCGGTTACTTGACTTTGGTCTATTGCGAATTAATGAGGTGTTACAGCATTGACTTCTCTACCGTCATGTTTTACTTGCGAGACCCTATGTTTGGTTGCAGATTGTGAGGTGAGTTGGATATGTAGGTTTATAACGTGTAACCATGATTCTATAACATGATGAATTAATTGGTCACTCATAAATAAAGAGGAGCCAAACATGAATGATTCTGTAATATGCGCAATTATATGAATGGCCAAACAGTAGTATTTCAAGTCAACAATTATTTTTTAGTTATCCCATAGTCATGGTTTAAAGTATCGGTCCGCACCGAATTAGTTAATACTTGATATAGTGAATATTTTCGATTAATCAAGACTCGATGCATGCAGCTCAGTATGCCAAACCCATCACATCAACATGAAAATAACATTTTTGATTCATAATATATTTCCATTGTCACTCTAATATGAGAGTCCGAGTTACCTCACCAAGCATACTAATTTTACGGTGTGTCGTAAGGGGCGTATAGTTCTCGAGCACAATAATATCGGAAAATAGATCAACAAATTCTGATACTAACGATACCGATCAAGATATAACCATAAGTTCGATAACACTCATACACTAATTATTGTTTTTGTTTATCGATAAAAGCAACATCAGAATAAAGCCACTAGGAAGGTGGGCACAAGAAACAGACATATCAAAAGGCTAGCAGAAAAACCATGGCGTAAATCAAAAAGTCTTCTTATACTATAATAGATTGTTGACTCAACATAAAAGGACATGGGCATGCAATTGTTCTTTGTCCATAATGGTCCATGGTCAAAGCTTAGGTTGCTTTCCTACTCCAAAGGCATCTTAAACAGGAAAAAAGCCTTCCTAGTAGAAGCCAAAAGATACACTTAGATATGAAAACACTTGTATCAACTTTGGTGATACTGAACGATAAAAAAAGATCGGTACATCTCCAAGGCCATATGAGCCAAATAAAGGTCAATCAATGTACCTCAATCGTTTCTACTTCACATATGGTGAGGAATATACGAAGTTGTACCACAATTACGCACTTTTTTTTGTTTTCGTATACGCATCTAATTAATTTCCTGTATTTGTTTGTAGTGTATATAATAAACATTGTTGAGAAACTAAATTGTGTGAATAATTTCGAGGAACAATAATTGGAGAACGTAACTACAGAGAGGCAAAGAGAAAAAGGAGGGAGCCCCGAGATTGGACGTTGGGCCACACACAATCTTGTGGAGATTCGCGCCATGGGATCGCGCGTGCGCCGGGGCGGCCGAGCTGGCGGCATCGGGTAGCGTGGAGGCACGCCATTGGCCTAACACTCCGACAAGGATGTCCCAAAAGAACCGCTTCGTACCGGAGGAGGAAGTTGGCGGGCGTTGTTTGTCCCCCTCACCCAACTCTCTCTCTCTCTCTCGCTCTCTGCACCTGCGATGGACTGAAGGTTATGACCGTCTATGACTGAACTCGAAGGACTATGCCACCATGTGAATGCAAATGCAGCCCACCTATGCGACCCATTTGAATCTTCTCTTCTCTTCGCTTCTCTTCTTTGTTTATTACTTGTTTGTTGTCGGTGTGTGTGGTAGTTTGGAGAAGTAAAGACGTGGAGGATTCCTCCTTCTGGCATTTCCAACCTTCAAATTATCTGATATATATATATATCTTTAATCAATGAAGAACTCAAAATTATTTTCTCTGTCAACAGTACACAGTGTTGCATTGTCCCACTTCAATCCATGCAGACTAGGTAGGACATATATACAACAATAGAAAAGAGAAAAGAAGATCAAACACACAACTTGAGAGTAACATCAAAAGAAAACAAACCCAACTTCTTTTTTTTTTTTTTTGGATTTTTACTTGTTGAGATCTTTCTATACATATGATCAACATCATCATCATCAAACAAAGTGACACTCCTTTCTTCATCACTACCATGCATCTCAAACCCCACATAACTCCCACCAACCCTCGGAAAACCCAAAGGAAGAAAAAAAGAAAAATGGAAGAACATTAGAAAAGAAGACATGCATCCCACAAATCCCATGCATATTCATCTTGCACCCAAAATGGAGGACCTTAAAAAAACCAACCTCCCCTCTCCTCTCTCTCTCTCTCTCTCTCTTCTCTTTCACTCTCTTTGTTAAGTAACCATTAGGGAGAAAAACGCACATTGCTTATAAAAGTTGGTGTTCTGCAGCTGACATTATAACAGGAACATCTCACTATTAATGTTGTTATACTGTTTTGAGGTTTCGGATGTAGCTGGTCTCAGAGCCAGAGGGCGCCGGCTTCCTTGAGGAGGGGGACGAGCGTGCCGTTGATGTGGGCGGCCATAACCCGGTCCATGGCCCCCACGAGCTTCCCGCCTATGAACACCACGGGCACGGCGGCTCCGCCCGCCGCCCCGCCGCCGAGGAGGCGGGAGAGGGCGCGCTCCATCTCCTTGCCGCGCGGGTCTTCGTCCAGCTCCACCACCGTCGGGCTCACCCCCATGCCGCAGAAGAGACGCTTCACGGCGTGGCACATGCAGCACGTGCTGACGCTGAAGATCACCACCGCGCTCTCCGCCGCCAGCCGCTCCACCCGCTCTAGCGCGTCCATTGTCGCCCCCCTCGCTGCCGCCGCTGCCACGTACCCCCACGCCTCTGCCGCTGCCGCCGCCGCCTGGTAGTGCATCCTTGTTCTTCCACCCAAGTTAAGCCTCGGCTGAAGCTGAAGCCCTCTCTGCGGAGTGTCTGAGGAAGCAGAATAGCTCAAAGGAGATAAAGAGGAGAGCCGGACGGGAGAGAGCTGCTGCTTGTGGAGAGGTTGGGAAAAGAAGGCGGGTATTTATAGGAAGAAAAGAGGGACATTTTGAGAACAAAAGATAATAGTAACGAAGGGGTAGAACGGGATGTTTGGGGGAAAACCTGTGAATTGCTATGTTTAATTGCTGGTGTCTATGTTTAATTGCTGCTTCAACTTCCATAGCTTATGTCATTCGTTCCTGTTGTAAGTTCATTCCATGTGAGGTTACGTAGGCAAGTGAGTTGATTCTTTACTTGTTTCAGATATGGTCAACCATGTTATGAAGCATTTAATGCAGTATTGGAGGCCAAAAAAGAAATATAAAATATAAAAGAAAGGAAGGGAGAAAAGAAAAAAAAAGAACATTACAGCAATATTTTTACTGGAATTGCAATAAAACTTTTGTGCTGCACAAGTGTATGAGTCTGAACTTTAGAGAACAAAACAGTACAAAAACATATATCAGCAAAGAAGAAAAAGAAGAAAAGAATAGAAAGACAGAAGAGGAGGGCAGGCTTTATCAGGAGGATATAGGCGTGTCGGGCAAATGCGGCTGTCATCGTCCTTGTTGTCGGGGTGGGGTCTGCGTCGAGACCCGACCCCACATCAACTAATTCTGAACCACTTTGGAGAACACAACTGCCCTAAGAGATGCCCGCATGATATAAATATAAATATATATATATACATACATGCATATACATTCCTCCTCACTATTCTACATCACTTCTTTTCATTGTATTTGATCTCTTTTGGTTTTTTAGTTTCCTTCTTCCTTCTTTTTCCCTCCGATGTGCTTTATCCAGCGGGCATCTCTACTGAGAGAAGGGACATGTTTTTATCCATTTTGGATCAGCTTTTGTTCCTCACTGCTTTTATCCACAAATCTTCGGTAGTTAATCCATGCAAAATCCGCTTACGTGGCTGGCTACATAACGGCCGTTTTTTCGGACAGTGCACCGTGGTTCTCATCCGACGAGCGAGGTCAATGGTCAAAGTGGCCCACCACCTGAACCCGGTAAGGGCGGGCCCCGGGGTGAGATAAAAGGGGGGAAAGGTGTAGTTGTGCGTCAGCACGTGGGAGGCAGGGAGATGATGGTGTCGGCAGGAAAACGGCACGTGGGAGCAGGGACGGGGCAGCCCGCCGCGAATATTAAAGCCCAGGCGGACGTGTAGAGAGTTTGATGAGGGGAGGGGAGAGACTCGGAACACGAAGCGAACAGATGGATAAAGAGACGACGGGGGAACAAAACAAAAAGCCATCCTTTGCGTGCGCACGTTTACCGCGGCCAACACCATTCTCTTCCTCATCCCTGAACTTTGTCCCTCCTCTCTGCCTCTCTCTCTCTCTCATCCGACCTCCTCCTCCCCTCCTTAGTTTGATATGGAGGGAGCGTAAGAGAGAGAGAGAGGCGGTGATTGTGATCCCTAAGAAACCGTTCCCAGTGGATGTTGCATTGTGTGGTTGGGGATGAGGAGTTCAGAAAAAGTAAGCAGTAGCAGTCGCAGCAGCAGCAGCGGAAGAGCTGACTTGGGTATGCGTACACAGAGACCAAGAAAGGAGGAACAAAAGAGCAGCCTACGCACGAGAATAAAGCAAAGAGGCGGAAACATATGTACCTTCCACAGTGGGCTTTTCCGAAGCATTCTACAGGCGGAATAGATGCAGCAGACATGTCTTCCTGTACGTCCCCCATTAAAGCAGAGATATGCAACTTCGAACGCATTACTCTGTGAAACAAAGAGAGAGGAAAAGGGTCTGCTTGAGAACCATAAAATTCTAGCTATTATTTTTCCTGCCAACACGAATCTATCAACTGTCATTTTTCTACTGAACCGATGAATCTTATTATCTCTTAGCCGGTTTGCGTGTGCAAAGACGTGCAGCAGGAAATTAACAACACATAACTAGTAGTATCTAAGCGAGTTCTTCAGATATAAAGATAGAATCTTGGGATGAAGATGTCCACAAGTAAACAAGTCAAAAACCGTATCTACTGACTGCATCAGTCTGTGAGAGTCGGTTGCTGGACACGGCTTTTGATGACCATTCAGGAGATAGAAGACAAGTATATGGAGTATCACAAAAAATCCGAGTCAAAGTGTAAACTTTTACTACAACTGAATGAGACTGTATGGGGTAGAAATGGAGGAAGGAAAGAACAAAGTTGGTACCGTGTCAGAAGTCTTTGTCTGGTGGTCTCCCTGTGTTAAGAAATGGCATGCACCAGCCAAAGCCCCTCCTTTCTTTAGCCATCCACTATTATTATTATTATTATTATTATTATTATTATGGGCATTCTTTCGGGGTTTGGCTTGCCGTTAACAAACGCAGGAGGAGAGCGGACGTGACGGCATCTGCTTGAGGCTTACGTGATGCTGGTTGACTGCTGACCTGTCCTTCTCCTCTGTCTCTGTCTCCTCCTCTTTCTCTCCTTTCCTAAACCTTGCTTAGCAATTTCTAAAGAGATAGTGAGTGGTGTGGGCGTGGCGAGGCAGCACATCCAACCTTTTTTGCTCATGTACATATGCGGGGACTCCTCATCCAAGCTTTTTCGATATGAATCCAGGATGGTGGCACCACCTGCACACTGCATGCCTAGCTATGTGTGGGGGGGGGGGGATGCCATCAAAAGTGGTCATAGATTGTGGTCCGCTGCTTCAACCTTCTCAAACATCCAGCGGAGGCAAAAACTGTGCACCAGGTTGTGATCCTTGAGACTGTTGGGTGTAAAGGTGAAGAAAGCCACACCAGGTTGTTTGCCGGCATGTCTGCTCCCAAGAATCAACTCAGCGAGCCTTGTCATGAATCATCATGCCATTCCACGTCAGGTTTTCTACCTCTCGAATTACCATGCAATGTGTATTATACATTTGTTTTCCTACTACTCCTTCTGCTCGGTTGCTTTACGTGTAAGTGTATGTGGTCCTCCAGTAAATGAAACGTCGCTCCCAAGTTATAATTATGGGAGTAGGAGACATGCTCATGCAGCCGAGAAATGGGGCTTCATGCTGTAATCATGGGGCCATAATGAGGCCGGTGGTCAAATTAAGTGGGGGAAGGGGGTGGTGGTGGAAGGAGAACAGGGTTTGGGTTGGAGAGGATCCCACCCCATGATGCTGCCTGCTCTGCTCTGGTCCCATGCAACCACGACACAATTGGATTAACCGGTGTGGTATTAATGAGCCAAGACACCAAGATTCATCACCACCACCATGGCCCACCGGGACTGGGTTCATAGCCTCAGGAGGTGGCCGTTTTGGTAGATTGAGGAGTGGCGTTGGGTAGATATCATCATGGGGTTGCAACACGGGGGAGTAGAAAGAGGAAGCAGCAGCTTCCAGCATCACCTCAACGAGATGCCACCCCAAGTTTTGGGTACAACAGCTTGATTTGGTCTCTCCCTTTCCATGACACAATCATTAAGATGTGTGCTGGTTTTGTTGAATTGAATGTGCACTATCTTTCACATTTCCATATGAACCACATATTTCCACTTCACTTGACCATTAAGGAGCTTTACCTCTTACTAGGCCTAATGGGCTGTCTTCCTTAGGCTTTGCTTCATTATCCAAGCCCGTCACAGCCCAAATCCATACCAATCCATATACATATGCATAAAACCTAGGTCAATATATATATATAATTATTGAGGAGGTCATTATTATATAAAATAAAGTTTTGGAACTTAAAAATATCTCAAGGAGGAAAGGAGAATCTGATTTAGGAGGATACATGGTTATTGGTAACTATGCTTCGGATGACAACGATGATGAGGATGCAGAACAAAGCTTATCGTTTATTCCATCACTTCTTGAACTTTGTTATAGGAGTTTGGATTCTCGCATCAACATAATTCATCTGTTTAAGATAGAATCATTCCATAAAACAAGTGTTTTGCTATAAAATTTTTATATCACAAGGAATTAGATAAATTATATTATTTTTTATTTTTTCACAATGGCTCATATATCTTTTAAATATAAAATTATAAATTTATGTATATCTAAAACCTATATATACCCTTATAAGTCATAACATTAGATATATTTTGAATAGTAAACATGTTTATATCATTGTCTAGATGTCTACTTGCTCGTATTATCATTGGTCTATGTTGAGATAGAAAATTAATATTATCTAATTTATGATCCAAGTTACAATGCAATGAGAACTTCTTCCATGAAGGTTTAGATCCCAAAATGAAACCAAGTTACCACACACCTCTACTTATAATAAGAGTTATATCAGATAATAAGAATTAATTTTAAAATTACTTTTGTTAATTAAAAGAAAATTAATTTTTTTTAATATATTTTTGATAATAAATATTAGAAAAAAAATGATGTGGACTTTCTTCTATCGGTGTCGTGGCGGCCTCCGCATTCTCGGGTGGGTCCCGCGTGAATAACAGCATGCACCGAGAGAGACCTGATTCTGATACGGTCCGACACTTCTGGAAGATTCTTAATGGAAATATCTTTCCATCCAGAAGGTACTGGAACATCTTTCCATCCTCTCTCCCGCCTCTAGAAGGAACTGGAACATTTTTCCCTGCCCTCACCCTCTCGCTTCTTCCAGAATTATCCCTTCCTTCTGCTATATATAACACGCATCTGTTTGATCCCAATCCACCACAAAATCGTAACCGACGTCGAACGAGTTCCTCTCAAAGCTTTCAACCAACACAGATAGGGAGAGATGGAGAGCCCCTTCTTCTACTCGCTCGATCCATGGAGCGCCGCTGGCCGCCGGCGCGGGCAGAGAGACGTCGAGAGCCCCTTCTTCTACCCCGCCGATCCATGGAGCGCCGCTGGCCGCAACTACCCACACGGCCCTGCGACCGTGCCCACCTCGAATCCTCGCGTCGTCTCCATTCCCGTCCACTTTGTTAGGTCCGAGGAGGCCCCCGCCGTCACGAAGCCTTCCATGGCGCCGCCGTCTGAGGCGGTACGGTCGTCAGCGGCCGTCGCCATCCAGAGGTTCTTTAGGGGCCACATGGTGCGGAAGAACGTGAGCATCGTCTCTCAGGTCGCGATGAAGGTGGAGGAGATCGATCGGAGGGTTCGCACGGAGGCGGAGCGGCTGAGGGCGGACCCCAAGGAACGGCTGCGGATGGGCGAGACGCTAATGTCGTTGCTCCTCCGTCTGGACTCCGTCCGCGGGGTGAGGGAGTATCGGAAGAAGGCGATCCGGAGGGTGATCGCGGTCCAGGATTTCCTGGATTCGATCTCGTCCCAAATCCTAGAATCGTCGAATTCTCATTATTCTGAACCACTGATTCCGGCGGAGACGCATCAAGATAACCGTGATCCGGATGCCGACCTTGAAGACGCAGAGGAGCCTCCTAAAGGAGGTAATTTCGATGGAGAGTCAGCCCTCGACGCCAACGCCGAAGAAGCCTCGACTCAAGAGTGCCAAGACCCGGATTTTGCTGCTGCCGATGAAGCTGCCTCTCAACAGAGCCAAGATCCAGGAGTTGTCATCGTCCAAGATGCCGAAGCACAAGATAGGGAACGGGTGTCTGATGCTTCTGATGAGGGATTTGAAACCTTAGATTACATCGATGATCTCGAGAAAGAAGAAGCGAAGGATGAAGGCTTCGTGGTGATTCCGATGGATGAAGCTGAAGCTACCGACACTTCTCCGACAAAGGCCCACTCGGAGGCAAAATGCCAATGCGACGAGGCTGCCACAGGCAAAGCTGGCGTTTCTGATTCAATAGAGCAAGAAATCAGGGAGACGACCGCTGTGCCCTTGGAGGATGCTCCGGAGGTCTCAACGGATATGGTTGACGCTTCAACCGGGGAGGCAGGATCGCACATGGCCGAGGACTCGATGCACGCAATGGCGGAACCCACAAAGGATTCAACGGACGCATCGGGGACGGGGGAGGTGCTGAAGAAGGTGATGGCGGAGAGCGAGAGGCTGCAAGGGCTGGTGGCGGCGTTGTGCGAGCGGAGTGCGCAGCAGGTCAGTCTGATGGCAGGGCTGTTCGAGAGGGTCGAGCACTTGGAGCGGGCGATGCAGAGGATGGAGAAGAACAAGAAGAGACGTGCAAACCGCCCTCTTGCTTCCCCGATCGATAAGAAAGGAAGCCAAACGAAGCAGTGATTCCGTCGTTTCTTGGTTTGCAAATGCCATCTCTGCTTTGCTTTGGTTTTGCTTTGTTTTGTTTCTTTGGTTCGATAATGTAGTTTGTTCTGAAGCTTGTAAGAGAATAGATGAACAAAGAGAATTCGTGTGGAAGAAGTCGAGGTTGCCTCCATGTCTTATTTACCTAGCGGGGAGTTTTTGATAACGTTATCAGAGAGAACGCTCCCTTCATCGAACCAAAGAAAAAGTCAATTACCAACCAGGGAGTATAAATCGAGATTTGCAGTATTCTATTAAATGCGAATCGAAATTGGTGTATTACAAATCCACAAGCCGAAAAACCAATTCCTTCTATCTTATAACAGATTTGAGTCTCGACCTTTAAGGCTTGACCTAAGCTCCGAACCGGAATTCACGGGGAGAAATGGTATGCCAAATCTCCCTCTCTTCTTGTCTCATTGAGTTCGCCTTTGAATTTGTTTTGCGCAATGGTTTTCTCTGATAGATTACTGTTTTCGTGGATTTTGGGATTAGTTGTGGAGTTTCGTGACCACGAATTGTTCCATCTGTTAGGCTCCTAAAAGAGGCTGAAGAGTGCCAGTCCCGGCGAAGAAGAAAGCGGTAATCTTTTTGGCATTGTCGAGAAAAAGTTATTCAGTTGGTCTGGGTGGTGATCTCTTGCTGCTGACTGCTGTGATGGTCTCTGGATGCCAGGAGAAGCGGCCGAAGCAGTTTGGGATAGGAGGTGCTTTGCCGCCGTAGAGGGACCTGCACCGGTTCCTGAAATGGCTGAAGGTTGCCCGGATTCAGAGGAAGAGAAGAATCCTCAAGCAGCGGCAGAAGGTCCCGCCGGCACTGAATCTTGGTATGTACTATCTATTAATCTTTTCTCAGCTGTTGCTTCTAGCTGTTTTTAATTCGATTAGTAGATTTACGAAAGAGAAACAGCGATCTTGATTCATTTCGTTGTTCACAATTTGATTTTTTTTTTTTTGCTTGAATTTTTGTAAGTTGATGAAGACAGTAGAAAATATCAGTTAGCCGAAATTTAGATGAATAGAGAATAAAAAGGTATTATTGTAACATGCTTAAGTAAAAGAAAGTTTAATTTCTAACCTACATGTGCCTCTCTTATACCCAATCTAACATGCTCGAGAAACAAATACATGGATTCTTTAACCAAGATACTCTCATGAAAAGCATTCTCAAACATGAACTGAGCTTCAATACTCTTGTATTTGAGTTATTCATTTGCTAATTACAGTCATATAATGTAGGTTCTTATTTCCGTATAGATTGGATATCACAAATGATTCATTCCCCAAATTTGTCAAGTAAAATGTAAATGACTACACATACCTTTTTAAGTACAAGGTAACTCTGTTTCACCATTCCATAATCATGCTAAGGGATAACCTTCTTGAGAAAATGTTCCAACCAAAGCCTGCTTGTTAAGCACCACAACTTGCCATCATGACCTGATATGCTATTCCTCATTTTATCAGTCATGTCTTCTTTTTATGTACTCTCATCAAGTATCTAATCTTTACTCAGTTTCTAATGACTTATCTTCCTGTGTGGTTATGAGCTTCGCCGCTTTCCTCCATTATCTGTTTTCAATTATAGTGTTTCAATTTCTTTTGGTGCAATACAACTTATATGCAATTACCTTATAAACTTATGGTGTACTGCTGTTTGTTCAAGACTGTTTTGGTAAATGTTTTACATAATCCATGAAGAATTTGGCGAGTCGGAAGCCACTGTTGCATTATGTCTTTTTAAGTTGGCGAGCTAAAATGTGTTCCAAAGTGGCAATCGGAGATAAGATCTACATCCATTTAAATTTTTACCTCAAATAATAAAGAGTGCAACCAGATCTGTCACTACTACTGTGCCTTTATGATTTGAATATAATTATGAAAGAATATGTGGATTTCTTAGCTCAGTTTTCCTACTCATAAGGTTTGATGGTAGATCTTCTGTGACTGCAAAGGTGTTTTGATTTTGTTGTGTCAACTGGAATCATACATGTATTACCTGGTTTCCTCTCTGCATGTGTGGTAGCATTACTGTTTAGTGTTTTTTACTTTCTCCTTGTGCGTGTATATTTCAATGCACTGAACCAAAGTCTGCTGTTTGATTCAGGACTTAGAATGCTATAATTTACATTCCATCCATGAAGCTGAGTTTTAGGTGTATCTGCACCTACAAACCTGTTCAAGGTGCTTTTAAGTACCGAGCTGAAGACAAAGCTGCAAAGAAGGAAAAGCTTCTAAAGAGGGCAAAAGCCTGTTGTTGTTAAGTACAGTCTCAATCATGTCACTTATCTCATAGAACATGTTTTAAATCTTCACATCTGACTTCATATATCAAATGTATGAATCTGGATTTTTCTTTTTTTGCCAAATGCCTAAGAAGCATATACAGAAAAACATCACCACTCTCTTCTACTGTTGCAAGTATATACTTTTACACTTTCTATTTGTTGGCTAATAGAACAAGGCACAGTTGGTGGTGATTGTTCATGATGTGGATCCTATTGAGCTTGTAGGTGCCGTGCCTTCTTCTGTACTGACACAATTGCTAAGCTTATTCTAGTATGCTGATATACATTTGCTGGCTGTACCAATTTGAATTTCTTCAGATTGATTGTGATTCCAAATTCTTACAGATCGTGCACAAGAAAACAACTACAGTCCTATGCTTGACCAGAGGATAAATTGGAGTTCAGCAAAATATTAGAAGCCATCAAGGTGAAGAGACAAAAGCTACAGTCATGCATAAATTTTTATCTTTAAGCTGTGAGCCTTAACCCCATTCCTTACCGACTCCACTTCTTCTTGCAGGCTAATTACAATGATAAATTTGATGAGATCAGGAAGAAATAGCGTGGTGGGATAATGGGATCCAAATCCCAGGCCAAAACAAAGGCCAGGGAAAAGATGCATACCATCAGAGGATGAGTTAGATCTTCTCTCTGTGTTGTTAGTTGAGCATATTTTTTGACTTCATTACGAACACTATTAAAAGGATTTTGTACTTGTTTTTAATTAAATGCATCTCTGATCAATTGATTGTAATCAATCCAATCATGAACTCAATTGGTGGACAGACAACAATCTTCGAATGCAAATCCAACATTTAGCCCGCAAAGATCCTTACTCGTTAGCTAATTCACCCATCAACCGAATCCCATCCGTCTCATCCCCAGATTCGTTAATCACGACCGTCCCTTTGCCAACTATATCCCATTCCCCCCCACCCTGTGTAGTCTCGCCGCCACTGGCAGACAAGCCACCCCCCACCCGCACGCGTCGTGAGAGATGAAAGTATGGCAGAAGGCAACGACAATGCCAACGGTTCAATGGCGCAGCAGCTCCTCTTCCAGCAGCACCGGCAACAGCTCTTCCTCATGCAGCAGCAGCAACTCCAGCAACAATTGCAACGTCAACAACAGCAGCAGCAGGCCGTCTCCCGCTTCCCCTCCAACATCGACGCCCACCTCCGCGACCCCAGCTTCCGATCCCTACACTTCCAGGCCCCTACGCCGCCGGCAGCGGCGCAGCCTTCCTCTTCACAACCATTGCCATCCTCCGTTCTCCACCATCCACCGCAGCCCCAGTCGGCGAGGCCCGCAGCGGTGGGCGTCGAAGTCGGGGTCGGGAGGCCCGGGAACCCCGTGGAGGTCGAGATGGCGCAGAAGGACGCCTTGATGGTCTGCAACCCCGACTTCAAATGCCCCTTCGCCTCCGTGGAGGATGCCGTGCTCAGGTATGCCCCTCTTCTAGGGCTTTTCTTTTTTCGGTTGGATCTTAGATCTGTAGCTCCCTTGCGATCCTAGGGTTTTGTTGCCTCTTCCCTTTTTCTTCAAAAAAGAGAATTTTGGTGTTGGTAAAGAAAATAATTACGTTGGGGAAACTAGTGTCTGATCGATCGATAGGATAAAGGGAGGAGAGGACGAGAATCTGAGAGTGAACTCACAATGTATCCCCAGGTTTGTTCTTAACTAGCAGTACGATTTGCATCTTGTTCTGCGATAGGTAGGCAGATCAGAAGGAACAATGAAAGCCCGATTGCAAGACAAAAAAGTGCTGTATGTAGATATCTTTCCAAATTCGATAAAGAAAAAGGGATTTTTTTTCTTGTACTAACCAACATAGACAATCTTTGGTACTACCACGTAACTACTAGGAGCTTCAATTTTCTTTTCCTATATTCTACATTTCAGTTTCGCTAGTTTTCTTATTAGTTGCACCTTCAGATCAACAAACTTTGTTCTGTAACAGATATCATTCCTCTTCACATGAATTCTCTCAATAATTTCATCAAAATGGTCAACCGGTTCTAGGCTGCAAGTTCCATGAGGAAAAAGTGTGAAGAAAAACATAAAAATCTCCATGCTCATGATTTCATCGAGAGTAGCATAAGCCTTTGATGATCGATGCCCAAAAATATGCCTATGTATATGATGATTAATAAGAATATATGTACTTAATAAGAGGCTACACAATAATATAAAAAAATGTTTTGGTTTCTTTCATTACCTATTTCTTTTTCCAATCTCGTTGACACATATATGTTGAGGAGGTGACATCATCCACATGTTCATGTTATTCAAATGGATGGTTGGCGACTAAAATGATACTTTTTTCAGTACACTATACTATAACAAGAAGTTCTTTTTTATTTATGGAAAATGATTATATACCAATGCAGTTTAATTGTCTAAGGTCAAGTAGCATATTTAAACCTGAAGTGTTCCAGGCATCATGCTAGATGGCTCAGTGAACTGTTGACCACAGTCCAAGGTTTTAGGCAAAGGTGCACATGAATCTAGGTTCGCCTCCTCGACAAAGTTGTTTTCCCTTAGATTCATGAGACCATACTGCATGTTTGACAAATAGAAAAGTTTCTTATGTGATTGATTGCAAATGGTAAAACATTTTTCTTTTTGCAAATATAACTTCACCTTATGCTATGTCTATTTGGAATAAAGGCTTGCTGATTAAGTTCAATGTATTTAATCAAATGGTCACTCTTCATGGAGACAACTAAAGGATTTCATCATGAATTATGGACCCAAGGATTTAATGGTAAGATTGAAGTACATAATCGAGAACTGGAGTGCATTTACACTTGTTCCACTTCGACTTTGACATGACAAAATTGCTTTGTGCTTTAGTCAGTACAAAACCTTCACAAGTGAAAAAGGCTTCAGGAGAAAGTATGCAATTCTGCCTTGCTGCTTTGTGAAATTTGTCCATAAATTTTGAGCTCGATCTTGATTTTGATAGAAAGCACATTAGCATCATTCTAAACCAAGAACAAATTTGGTTCTTCCATCACCAGGTAGTTGGTCAAAGAACTCAGGAAGATGATAGCAGAAAAAGATATGTTGTATCAATTATCTGGAGCCATTTCTGGTTTGTAAAGATCTGCCTGGTAACGGGCAAGGGGCCTTATACCTTACAGACAATGTACCAATAAATCATCAGCGATGTGATTGGTTGTATTGATCGACGTGGGATCTATACTATAGTCTCAACTGCTATATTGCAACATAATGGTTCGTCCTAGAAGAGTTCCATTATCATTATATAAAACTATAATCCTTAACTAGAAGGCGATCAAGCATTAGAAAAACTATATATTGGAAAGTATACATGGCAAGACAAAAAGTTGATCAACTAATTTATCATGAATTAATTTCTCATCATTGATGGCTGCATTACTATCTGCACAGGTTTACAGTGATTTTTTGTGTACTTGGAAGTCTAGAAGGATTGCTTTGTGTTTGTAACTACTGTTAGAAAGATTTGGAATTCATTATGCTTGAATGTGACTTGCATTCTTTCACTTTATTAGTTTCTCATTTTCAATCATACTTCTATTCGACTAATTTATTGTACTTTTTTATGGAGTGATTTACGGCATTCTGTCTAGAAAACTGCGTGACTGGATAAATTGGAACCTTCATGTCATGGAAAGTTCTTTTTAATGGTCTTCGCCATGAGCATGTCTTTAGCAGATCAGATCACTGTCTTATCCTGAAATGTGCTGTTATGACTTATTTATATTGCTTCAATACATAGTGTGGTTAAACTGACTTAAAATAATTAACTCTGCATAGCTGCATGGAGTTCATTGTACCTGTGTGCTACTTGTCTCCTTGTCACATCTTCCTGTAGCTTTACTGCTTAGTTTTTTTGTCGTTGTGGATCATTCCATGCAGTAGTGTATTGCTTATCTTGTGGAAATCACAAAACTTAAGATTAATTGATTATGAGGACCTTAAAAGGGTTCATTTCATCATTTGCTTCTGACTTTTCAGGCTGCTGCCTTACCATGTGGTTTCCGATTATGAAGCTGAAGAAGATGACAGAATCCTCGATGGTGATACCCTTGGTCATATTATTTCACGACTCCAGCAATGGGACCAAAACATTCTCACAAAGATTGCAGAGTTCACGACTACATTTGAGAAACAAGTCCTTGCTTTCAACATATTGTCACGGAAGAGAGCACAAGGAGAATTCAGGTCAGAGGAGAGGCTTATGATAGAGCAGGCTTTAATGCAAGAAGAAAAGCAAGCTTTGCTGGAAATAAGAGCAGAAATGGAATCTAGAGAGAAGGCTGGTAGGGAACCCACAGAGGCCAAAATGCGGATGGCAATGGCTCAGGCTGAACATGCTCGAGCAGAGGCCCAGGTCCATGCAGAAATGTATGCTCATGCCCCGATGAGGGTTAGTACTGCTACATCCCTCGGTGACGAGGGTTCTGGCCATGATATGGGGCAGGAACAGGGAGGTAACATGGATGAAATTCATGGGTGGGGAAGCGCTCAAAGAGAGGATGAAGAGCCATCGCAGGATTTTTTGAATGATGAGAATGGAACTGAGAATGTAGTCACCAGAGCACAAGGTGAATGGCGAGAAGCTGGTGAGCTGGACCTGAACTCCAGGTGATATAAGGTTAAAGTTGGCTGCTCTTCTGTGGAGGAGATCCAAAACTCTTTCCAGCTTGCATTTAGTAGCTTATGCACAAAGTCGGTCGGTCACAAATTGTCAAATTTGACATGAGCAGATCTGTCATGTTGACAGAGATCTATTGCTGCATTTATTTAGAAAAAAGAAAAAGTTTCTTTTCAAAAGGAGAATACAACTCTATTGCTAGATCTAATTTGGCGACTATCAAAATGCAGCTGTGGATCAGATAAGTTGGAAGCCTGTTCATCATGTTAAGCAGCTTTTTATATCCTGAAGATTGATTTTGGGCAGAATGATTAGAAGGCTTACATGGCTATACCTTTTAAGCATCTTTGTTCCTTAATAGAATGCTATGCTGCTGAAACTGAACACATTACTTTCTGGATGTCTTACTAGTAGGCAGGAAATACTTTGGACAATATCGCTGAAGAATTAAGTTGCTTTTGTTGACTGATTGTTGATTACAAACACCATGGTTGAAACTATATTTCTGCTTGGCATTGACTTGGAGATTTCTTGGTACCATGCAGTTCTGAGGCAGAGTATCTCTACGTTATGAAGCATTGGATCTCTCGGAGACTCAGGTAAAATATCAAATTTTCGCCAAAATATTTGGATTTCTCTATACTAAGAGGATTCATAGCATATAGTCCTTGTTGTTTCATATTCCAACTTTTGTTTCTCCTACTTCTTGCCTTATCGTCTTTCCTCTAATGCAAGAAGCATCAGAAGAAAATAGGGTTTCAGAGGCAACACCTGTAGACACAATTTTTTGAGCATCCCAGTTGGTCACTTTTATTTGTGGATAAGGAGACTTGTAGCTTCCTTTAAGTAAGTCATTATCCAATTCTGAAGTCCTTTTAAGATATTGACTTGCCATATGGGTAACTCCTGCACACATAAGAGTAATATCATACATGCATCAATTACGTACAGCATCCACTTTGGTATTCTTTTGTTCATTATACTGATATTACAAGCAAATGGTTAGGTTGAATATAGCACCAGAATATATTCTTCTGCTAGATATTTCAGTATTAATAGTGACTCAACAAAAGCCTACTATTCCCTTTCTTCCAGAGCTTGGGCAGCACCATACCCTCCTGTACTCTGATTCCTTTTTTTTGCAAAAGGAATCCTAAAGAAATCTCCAAAAAAAATTGTTCTTAATCCTTAAACCATTGACATAAATATAATTCATAACTCAAATTATGAAATGATTTTCTTGTCGATGCACCCTTTTTTGATGCAGAGGATAAGTGTCATCTGCCCTCCTCCAAAGCATCCTGGCTTGATGTGACCAGATTGTTTTACAAGTAGCTAAGTAACACTAGAATATGAATATCGACTACAAAGCACGCTACCCATCTCAGACAAACAATTGTCATCTTTTGTGATGGCCATATATATATACTGTTGGCAATCTTGGCAGTGCTGAAAGGAAGGAAGAGCATGACAAGCAGTACTTATGAATGAAACCATAATCCAAAGGGTACAAGGTGGCGGTAGGATCCTTCAAACTCGTAACATGTTGTGATTGGTATACAGATCGTCGGACTCTTGAAGCGGATACATAAAACTTGCATACAGATCAGACTGGTATGTTCATACTGCAGGCTGCTTGAGAGTTCAGGGTAGTTATTCACAGGGTTCATATTGCAGCCGTTGTCTTCTTTGCATCTTCGGCTACTGCCACGGCCGGAATCGCCCATTGTCTCACCAGCAGTTCACTTGCAAGCTTGCAGGCGACATCCTGAAGGCCCTGTCCCATGCGTACCGGAACTTGACAGAGAGCGAGCTGGGGATGCCCTTCCCGTCGTTGACGAGGTAGCCGGTGCCCTCGCGCCGGAACAACTTGGGGTCGACCGTGGCGGAGCTGGCGAAGCCTTCCGACCGCAGGAACACGTTGGTGATGGTGCAGCGGCACAGGTTCTTCACCTCCACCTGGAACACCGGGTCGTAGCCGACCTTCCGCCCCGTGTTGGTCTGCTGCACCTGAACGCTCGACAGATCGCACCGCTGGCTCGCCACTGTCAAAGATCCCAACACACAGGACGAGAACAAGGATCACCTATGGGTCCTCAAAAAAGCAGCACCTCGAGATGGGAAGAGGGAGGGCACGTACCTGTCGCGAGGAGATTGAGGAGGAGTGCAGCGGAGAGGAGCTTCAGGACAGCCGCCATCGGAATTGCTTCGTTACAATTGGGTGGGGAGCCTTGCACCGGTCAGTATATAGAAAGCGGTCGTTTTCCTTCGACTGTTGACAGATCACTTATGCTTTCCACCGAGCTCCTGTAAAATTCGATATCTAATTACTGGGTGGGCAAATCCTTTTACTTTGCCTTCAGCAGTGGGAAGCAAAACAGTAGTGTTCTGCTTTAGTCACCACCATTCTGAGCCACAACTTTGTGGCATGTTAGGCTGTGGGTTCGCTTTTACCCTCTCCTGTATTAGGCTTCCTTCTCCTTCCTTCGGCTCCACGCCATGATCCAAAAACTAAGCAGGAGACCAAGTCAGTATCGACAACATGAAGAGACCGAGAGCAGGAGTTTCTATGGTCTTTCATCTTCACTTCCGGGTCCTCCTCTAACAATTCTAATTCTTCAGAACGTCTGTAGTCTTCCATGCTACGAAAGTCGCCTCATCTTTCAACACCTACTACTCTCCACTGAAACCAAACAGTAGATGGAGTTCGAAAGTTGACCTTGTGTCAGAATGTGGATCCCATGACAGGAGTTATATCTCATAGTGAAAGGAGAGATGAGGGTTCTAACGGTGTTGATCGGAGAAGACCCCAAACCAAGGAAACATGTTTGTGCAAACAATTTGAGCTTTCAGAAAGAAAAATAATGGTGTATAGATCGAGCTTGGGCAGGCTGATGTTGATGCCCACAGGAGGAAAGCAGAGAGAGAGAGAGAGATCAATCAGGGATGGTCACTGCATACTTAAAAGTCGGAAAAGCCACCGAAGAGGCCAATCCTTGCTGATGACCTAAAAGTCAAGAGATCCTATCAGATACTAAAAGCCGGGATTCATGATGATTCAGATGAGCTCCCGGAAACTTTATGCACCCCCCAGGAAGTCCCATGCACATTTTTATAATGCCAAGAACCATGAGACCTTATCAAATCGACAAGCCATGTGTCGATCTTAGATAATTCAAAGTGTCGAAAAATATCCTCGTATCGATCGGATTTCCACCGATACAAAGGTTACTAGACGTCGTTCCGCATAATTAAACACGATAAATTGATCTCCTCAAGTTAGCGATTTAAGTTCAACAGGCCTCGAGGAAGAAAAAGAATTAGTGATGATTTGAGTTCAACAAGCCTCGAGCAAGAAAAATAATTTTGATCACCAAGAAAACATCAAGATTAGAGAACGAGAAAGAGTGACACATTGCATGTCTTTTGAAGAAAGTACACCTACTTCGAGTTAAAGCAGCGGAGTAGAATAGCACCTACACCAGAATGAACTAAACTATGGGAAAGCAGACTTCTTTTGCATGCTGAATCGTTCCTAACTTCGCATGATGTAGTGAACTTTCTTAACCTGTGTTAAAGTACTGGCATAATGCAGAGGGACCTACTCAGAGTTCTCCATGCAGTGGCAACATCAGAGTGTGGAATACTGAGCCTTGCATCGAAACATACCACTCTTTCTCATCCCTTGAGGAGTTGATCAGAAACATAAATGCAACTGGATCATGTCTTTTCTTCTCTTGAAGAATAGATTGTAAAGCTTAATCATATCATCAGGATCAAGGCATCATAAAGTTTAAGACAGCTAAAATCCCACTTGGAGCTTCGTGATTTGTACTGCAGTTGATTTGGGCTTTGTGGGTCCAAGTAAATGTGGGCCATGTAGCCCGGTTTCGAATCTATTCGACGCCGGTTTCGAATCTATTACTCTGGGAAGAGTGAATCGTATGATTAATCTGTAGACCCTTCACTGCTTTTATTATTTGTTTTAGAGATTTCTTCCTGCTACTTCAAGACGAATCAAAATAGAAGAAGCCACATGAATTGTAAGAGCAATGGACAGATTAAGCTTCAGTAAATCTACATTTGTACATGTTCTTTACAGACTGGTGTTGTGTATACTGTCGTCAGATCTTTCTACGAACGGTGATTGATCAGGAGTGGGATCCGACCAACCTGAAGCTCTGCAAGGAAGCTTTGAGGAGATTACCGAAGAGGAAGCTGGTGGCACCGGCAACCTCAGGAGGCTTCGGAGCGAGAAGAGGACTCTGCTTCACCCTCACCACCATCTCCCCGAGCTGCCGACATATCGAATCGATCGTCTTGGCTTCCACAGGTTTGCCCGACATCTCCGAGAGGTAGAACGTATCCGATGCTTTCCCTCCCTGTGTCGAAATCTCTGCTCTTCTGATCGTCAAGCCATTCTCTCGGAAAACCCTCGTCACGTCTGAAAGCAGACCAGGTCTGTCTTCTGTCCTCAGCACCAGCTCCAACCCCTGGGTTCGACCGAACAATGGTACTTGAAACAGCGAGACAGAGATCATGAGCAGTTCGTAATGGCTGGGATCGAGTGATGGATACCTCTGTAGTTCGTCTCTCGATGGCTGCCTCGAGGCACTTGATCACGCGCTGTCGCTCCGCCTCAGAGTTTATGGGGCACCCATCGACATGTCTGATGTAGTATTCCTGAGGTCACAAGGCTACCGATGCTTAGCGTCCATCAAATGACAGGGAGAAAGCTCTGCAATGGTGCGATCCTGTCCTACCTGATAAGCTTCGTCGTCTCTCGTGTCAACCGTGCCATGAAACACGACGTACTGCATGTCCGTAAGCGTGCACACGGTGTCGAACAGAAGCTTCGGCCGGTCTCTTGACCTCAGAATGACCACAGAGTAATCCTTCTCGGCGCAGTCCATCACCGCAACCTGAGGCCTGGGCTTATCGTCGCCGGCTCCCACAACCGTGCTCTCGTAGTCCCGGTCGCCGAACATCATCTGATGCAACCTCCTCTCGGTGTGGGTGCGATCCTTGGAGACCGTCATCCTACCCATCCTCGAATCGTTGTCGCCTCGAAGAACATTGCAGAGGAGCTCCTTGATGGTGGAGAGCCGCTCAGGGTCCTCGACCGCTGCGCCGGTGGACTCCTCGGTAACGTGTACCACCGCTGCAACTCTGGTGTTGTGCGTCCATAGCTCAGCTTTGGCCACGCTACAGTTTCGGTTCGCTAGCACGGCACATATTTCCGATAGCAAGCCGGGCCTGTCGGTGCCGGTCATCTCGATGAAGGTGTGCTCCTTTGAGGGCACAATATCCACTGAATTCCCAATTCTAGGGAAGAAGAAAGCATCTGATCCGAGCGACTGTAGACATAATGTTGTATTAAGCACAACAAAGAAGATGAAAAAGCCATGTTAATAGCTGGAATCCTAACAGTAAAAGCTTACATTTTGTATGCAGGAGATTATCTCTTTGTCTCGTACTTTATTCCCATTTCTATCAGTCACATTAAATACTGAAGCCGCACAAACAAAGATCAAACTCAGCATAGTTTCTTCTCAAAAGAGGATTAGTTTTCTGTGAGAGCTTACCATCCATAAACCAACTTCCATCTGAAGAAATGTAAGCTTTTGTGATTATAAGGTCCAGATCAGTGAGGACTTGAATTACCTCTAGTAGAATCCCATGCTTTTTTATGCTATCCACCTTAAAGAAGAGAGAGAGAGAGAGAGAGAGAGAGAGAGCTTAAAGCTTTTGCAGATGTAACATGCGCAGCAGGATAATGGCTTTGTTGCATGAAAAGAGCTGGATACTTACTCTGATGACAGTAGCGTTATCGCAAGCATCATTATCTATCACAACCCTGCACCCAAAACCATAAGATCAGATGTGACTTTGAGGAGGAGGAGGAGTTCATCAGCACATCTACTTTTTGAAGGGAAAAGACTGAGAAGAGACAAATGGGAAAAGAAGGAACATGATGAATCTAAATAGTATTATTAAAGCACCAGAAGTATTGGAATCCCTCCTAATCATGAATCAGTAGATTGAACAGAACATCCTGGAAAAGAGAAAACCCAAATACGTCCTGATTTCAAACAACCAAGATCCAACAAGTGATCTATGAATCATAACATGGATAGGAAAAAGAAGAAGAGGAAGACCAGAGTGACAAATCTGCTCGATGATTGTCAGATGCAAAAACTCTTATTCGATTACTACAATCTCAAAACACTCCAGAAAGTACTTGTCAACAAAACAAAGCATACAAGCCAAAAGCCAGAGCACGGAAGATCTTTAAGCTGCAGATCTCAGCTGAAGACAAGCACTTCAGAAGCGAAACACAGTCAGGCGCTAATCCATGCAACACAGCAAATCTAAAGAAGAGATCATTCGAACAGAATAAGAAACAACAGGAAAACGCTGAATTCTGCTAGTCTCAGCTAAACTTGAGCTCCAAAGAACAAATCCAACCAAACTGGAAGAGGAAGAGGAAGCGGAAAAGAAAGAATCGATGCTGCAAGCTACCTTGGGGGGTTCATCCTCCTGATGAGCTTGGCATACTCATCATCGTCCACCTCCACCACTGAACAGCTCCCCATCCTCGCGGCAACACTCCCCCTGTGTAGCAACGCCAAATAAGTAAACCAAGTCCAAGGAAACAGAGAGATTCCACCCTCGTCTACATCAAAGTAGAAAGTACACGCGAAGAAGAAAGCAGAGGAGGAAACGGGAGGATGATGGAATAAGGAACGGAGAAGAGTGAGACCACCACCTATCTTGAATTAACGACCGTTCCTCGTAGACTGCTTCTTTACCCAATTTTTACCGACGTTTCATCTAGTGATTGGTTATTCTAGCTGTTTGGTGTAATGAAGGGATCTCCGTCTACTCTGATATTTGCACCCTTTTATGTGAGGAGAAAGTGGTGATGGAGAGGGGGAGGTGAGAGGAGAGGGCGGGATAAGGGGAAGATTGGGAGTTAGGGTATCAAGTCGCACGTTAATTGCTGAGTGGGCGTTCCCACGTGCGAGCCGGACCGGACCGGCTGCCGGTTTACCCTACCTGATGTTGGATTAATGACCTGCTTTG